GTCGCTTTCTGCAGAAGTCAAAAATAAATAGATTTACCATGAATCTTTGAACTGATACCGCATCAAGAAAAAAAAGGACAAAAAGAAAAAAGAGTGAGCGAAATAATGATGGAAATCAGAAGTAGCGGAAGTCGGAGTAAACAGTAAACAGAAGGAAGTGATGTGTATTCCATGCGGCAATTCCAAATGACAATTTTGTTGAAAACGAATGGTCGAGTGGGAAATGAGTTGATGAACGTACGATTTAACCAACAATTCTTTTCCCACTTCGATAAAGGAAGCAGAAACATTGGATGTTGACCAAAGCGTAATATTTATCATGCAAGAATCAGTTACTACACATACATTTGCATGTGTATATCTCTATATATAAATGCACTTTAAAACTAATCGCTTTTATGGGCCTCACAGGTATGGCAACCTAAAATTTGAGCTCAACTAAATGTGATCCGTGCTGAACAATTGTATAAAGGAAAAAAATGAAAATTAAGGACAGAAATCAGAAAAAAAGTATTATATTTCTGAAAAGCTATGAAAAAGAGATTTATAGTTTTTTGGTTTGGTTACTGACAAAATTAGCTGCTCGCAATATTCTGACCCTCTCAAAAATCTTAACCATTTCTTACGGTAATATTTTGCGCTACCAGCTTTCTATTTCTGTGCGGAGAATGTTACGCATGTAGCTCTCAAAGAAAGCAATTGAAATATCGAATCATTTTCCAAAGTAGAGAGGAAGTTTTTAACTGTTCCTTGGCATGGACTTGGGAAGCTAGATTTTGAAATCTAAGGTAGCAAAGTCTACTTAACAAAGACAACACTTGAAGAAAAAATCAAACAATCGGGTAAAGCAGGGTCACTCAATAATTCTGAAAACTCTGGAAATCCGCACATACCCAAGTACTTTCCTGACATTCTTGTGAATCCGAATAAGAACATGATGAAATAGTCCTGAAAAGAGCAGACATACATATATTTCAAAATGACTAAGTCACAGAAGTGATACAGAATTACTCATGGAAATACAGTAGTCTGCATTCCAAACTTGAACGGACAAAGAGGATTCATTACTTCTCTGCTAATGACGTACTATCTTTCGGAACTTTCAAAGCTTATCATCGATTCTGCCACGACAAATTCAATTTGCTAGTTTGGTATGAGGAATTAGTCCCCTTTACTTCACATATTTCAACTTTGGACTAAGGAAATTCTTGTAATTGGTTAATGAATACTGGCATTGAAAATTTGGAAGGAGAAGCGAAAAAAATAGGGTCAAACACTAAATGATGTCTTCTGTACAGAAGCAAAAGAAAGGAAGAACAAGCAGACGAGGTAAGGAGAAAAGAATGAAAGACATCAAAGAAGGGCAGCTAAACTGACCTGTTTATGCCCCTTCTCTATTACAAAGCAACTGTCACCTATCACCATTGGTTGCCCTCTTACTAATTTACTCATCCATCAGCTTGAAATAGAAAAGATCGATTTCAGGAATTCTCTTTCTCCTTTTTTTTATCTTATGTTCAATATTCCTTATAACAGATAAAGAATGAAGCATTTCAGATTCATAGTCATCCTCACATTTGCTTCTACCAAGGTAAAATTTATAGAAGATCACTTAGTAGGGTGGTAAAATTAGAGAAGCTGATAAGGAGTGCATCTTAACTGTTCGGGTTAAAACATCTAAACGAACCCGGAAACTCTCAGAAACTGGAAGTTCAAAAGTGGACAAGCCTAACTAAATATTTCAAGCCACATAAAGAAAATATATAAACGGAAAAGAAGTACTAAGCAGAAACTTTTACTTTAGTATTGTTGATTGGAACTAGTCATGGTTTTGATATTGCTGCTTGGGATGATGACAGTGATAATACTGGCAGAGGAGTTAGTGGGAGGTGGGTGCTCTCATGAAGAGCAAATAAGTGCTGCTGCACTGAAAATTAAAGCCGAGCAGTGCGGAATGGGGGAAGAGATCTGGGACTATGATTCGTGATGCCGAGGCTACCAATAAAATGTGAGTCGCAAGGAAGGCTGACAACTGGGAAGAGTGACAAACGAAGAAAAAACCTCTCTTTTTCGACAGCGGCGTCAGTAAGTGCAGTAATGGCCAACTGGATAGTTTTAGGCGCGGTAGTGACAGTATGATGTGTTGGACTGCATCACAAAATTCACTAGCACGGAATAGGTAGTTTCTGTAATACCGAGATTCACAAGCCAATTTCAAAGCAAATGAATAATAAGTTTTCGTTTCGAAAAGTTTTTTTCCTTCTTGAACATACAAACCTGACACTATCCAACGTTTAATCTCGAAGCGTACTGAACGTATCTCCTGTGGAAGTCAATTCATGGCATCAGAAGTAAAGAGAATAATGCCATCATGTCTCTAGTGTGATTCAACGTTTGGAAATACTATCCTTTAGTTTAATTTCGCAACCGTCACACCTATTAGCCATCCTATCCCCAAGAAAAATAAAAATTTATTAGCGAAAGTGGCATGACATAGGTAGGTTAAGAGATATAATGAGAAAAAATAGAAAAAGCACATGGACTTGTTTTTTAATATTTATGAATCAATGATAGACAAGCATGTATCACGTGTTGCGACTGAGTAAGCTTTAGAAAAGAATAAAGTGTCTTTGTTTTTGTGAAAGCAGTAGAAAAGTTAAAATAGCAGTTGTCGTCTAGTCAACTTGCTTCTCCGCACGTTGCTTGCATATTGATCCTGTTTGTGGTTCTTTTAACTTGTTGATAAAATGAGATAGAATGAAATCAATGGTTTGAGGAATAAACGAGTACTGCATGTTTACAACGTAGTTAAAAAGTCATCAAAAGCATTACTGATATTACAGCGATTTAGCAATCCATTCAGTTTTTGGTTAATCTATTGTAGCCAATGGGTGCCAAAAACTTGGTTTTTGGCTATCCTACTGTCTCCTAGTCTTTAATTGGCAACAGTTAAAATATTCAGACGCTGTTTCAAGCAAAATTTTCATATTTGCTAATAAATATTGGTCAAAAAAAAGGCCATTCCACGCCTTTAGGTACCATTTATCAGTCAGATGTTTCAAAGGAAGGGGAAATAACGTAGTGAAATAAGCGCACACATGGTAATGTATCCAAATCTGCATTTAATAAAAATAAGGTTGAGGAAACCAACTTATCCTTGTATCCAACCACTCCCGAACCTTGTTTAGAAGTTACTGAACTGAATGTCTGTAGTATTGACCCTAGGTATATCCGAAAAATAGTTCATCGAAATTAGTCTTCCGGAATAAGCATTTAGCTTAGGATTTGTCGTGAATTTGAAGAACTTTTTGGTCAGAAGAGTAGATGATTTAGAAAAGTTCACCTGACTTACTTTAAGTTTGTAGAACTTGAACTGAACCTTTTGCTTTTTATCTGCGAGCAAGATCGACCCAAATATGTTTTATTTTCTTTATAAAGTAAATCGATACAATATGCAACCGAATAATTGAAACAGCGAGGGAGTAAATGGTATTGTTGAAGAGGAGGAAGAGAAGACTGCCACTGATCCTTTCTTTTTTATTAACTGATTAGAGAAGATTTTTGAGGATTAGAAAATGGGCTGGGATGGCTTAGCAGATTAACATTTACAATGAAGACAGATGTACATTTCCTATTTGAGGTTTAAATAAAGAATTCATTGTTTCAAAAAGAATGGAGTATAGCAAAGGAATAACGAATTGGTTTATAGTGATGAATCATTAGCATTGTTCTAAACACTTAGCATGTAATAAAGGTTTTCCGACACTCTCTACTGAAGGGATAGCAATACTGAAAGAATAATGGTGGTCATTTGCATCATTGAACTTGGATATTTGTTTGCTGTAGTTTCTGTTTTCTTTCCACTCCTACGAGATGCTATTAGTCCGTCTCCAGTTCCATCTCTTGGTTTTATTGCTCGAACTTCGTTACTATCTTCTTCATTCACTTCTATAGGATAAAATAAATTAATTGGTCTCTTGAGAAGTTTACCGCTGGTAGTTTTCACAGTTGCCTTTCCTATACTTCAATCACTACCTAATTTAAGTGTTCCTGTTCTTACTAATTTCCACATATCTGGTGGTAAATCTGGTTCTATTTCTCCAACACCCAAAATATGCTTATGAACTAGTCTTGGTGAAGCCAGTTCCCTTTGGGTATGTTCTCTCAAACGAATAAAATATTCGTTTTTCCAATTTTTCCAAAATACATCTACAGTTTTGAGAGCATTCGACCAATAATTAATTAGTTTGTCTCTAGTATTTAGTAATGGAGAATAAATTCTTCTTGGTCATTATCATTATTACTTGGTATATTTAATGGATCATTAGGAGAGATAAAATCGATAGGTAATCATCAAAATTTCAATATACATTCTATTTCTGCTATTAATATAATTAATTCTCTTTCCCATAATAATCTCCTTCCTATAGCTCTTCTGAGAGCTTTCTTGGTTAGCTCAATCATTTTCTCATATACCCCTTCGTTCCACGGTGCTTTCGGGATTATATTTTTCCAGACCATTCCTTTCAAGCCCAGGAAATTCCCATTTGTTCCATTATTGTTTTGAATACTAGTTAAAATTGACTGGCATTATCACTGGGAACAAGTTTAGGATATCCTCGGCGAGAAATAAATCTTCGTAATACATGCATGAAGATTTCTGCAGATAAGTTATCGACGAAGCTCGAGATGAATTGCTCTAGTGGTAAAACATGTAAAAAGTGCTACCCATCTTTTATTTTTCCATTGTTATCTTTGACAGCAATTGGGCCCATATAATCAAGGCCAACCTGTCGAGAAGGTTTTGATTTCTTAACTCCCGTTTCCGGCAGATTTGGCACTGGTGGTAATTTATATGGTTTAGTTCTTCATCTTCGACAAGCAAAGCATCCATTGATAACCCGTTTAACTGTTGATTTTCCCTTTGGTATCCAAAAATTTGGACTTAATTCACAGAGAGTGTGAGCAATTCCAGCATAATATGGTTCTTCATGTTTCTTTCACTGCGGTCTTGTCCACCACGGTTGATAGTTTTTAAGTTTACTTGGTGAAATTCCTCTGGTAGCAACCTCCACTGGATTGTTCGCACTTGGGGTATATCGAAGAGTGAAATGTGCCCTTCGTATCTCTTCTATTCGATTTTGTACAAACCGAGGGAGTAGTCTCGTATAATTTCTGATCCAAAATAGAGCGCATTTAGAATCAGACCAAAGCGTTGCAGGGTATATTTTTTAATTCTAGTTGCTTCAATGCAAACTGTGTAGCTCTTACTCCAATTAGTACTGAAAGTAATTGCAACCGAGGTATGGTAATTTGTTTAATTGGGACAATATGTGATTTAGCATAAATGAGAAATGTTGAATTTTTATCACATTTTTTGATGTCGAGAACATATACTGCTGCTGTGTATGCTTTATTTGAAGCATCTGAAAATACATGTATTTCTAATTAATCTGATGGGTTTATTACAGGTAGGTATATTATATATTATATTCTTTGGCCAACTTTGTATCATTGATTTCCACTGTTTTTCTTCCTGATAGCTTAAAGGCTGGTCTCACTTGTTTTGTATCCTAAATAAAAATTAAAGAAATAATTTGAGTGTAATCATTGAGGGGACTAAAAACCCTAGAGGGTCATAATGTGAAGTAACAAATTGCAAGATAGTTTTTTTAGGTATTTTCTTTTCATTCCATGGTTTAAGTATTATATGAATTACATCCAGTTCATAAATCCAGTTGATACCAAGAAAACTATCTTTATTAGAATTAGCCTTGTCGTATTCGGTAATCTTTCATTGAATTCCAGATCATTCGAAATATATTCTCTAATATTCATAGCTGCTCTTTTATAATATGATCTGAGTAACAAACTGATTCGTAAAATCAGAGCAGGAGGAAAACTGATGATCAAGAGAAAACGAAGTACATTCCACAATCATCGCTGCCTCATATATTACAAGTTGTGACTGTTTCTTATGAAATAAGGTATGCGCGTGCAAGAGAGCTCGGCTGAGAACAAGCGAACAACGAGGGGTATTTATCTCTCATACTAGAACATTTCTTGTTAAATAACACACACATTTATATTTTTTTTTTTTTTTTTTTTTTTTTTTTTACTGGCATCCACAATATGAAATAACGTTACCAAATAAGTTGAGTTTGTCATTTCTCTAAGATTTGCGCAGGAACCTATATTTATAAGCAAGGAAAAGATTTCGCAAATCTCTTGGAAAACTTCAAAGCAAATTTGGTTTCTTCAATCACTTTTGCTCCTGTTTACAGGCATTGATAGATCCAATTGATGTTCATCTAAAAATGTGACAAATTTCATTCACCAAATAACTAATGAATCAGGAGATGAGAATTTTCAGAGTTTAATTTAAATCATATTCAGATAAGAAATATACTGTTAATTTGACCAAAATTTCAAATTCAAGTTGATTTGTAGGAAAGGAACTCTGCTATTTTGATATTCGGAAAAGAGATTTAATGTAATTTATGAGTCACTGCAGTGAATAACAACAGAACAGCTTAAATGAACTGCAGAAACGTAAACTACTGAGCAAAGCATAAAAGCATAAAAAGACAGACAGAGAAGCATACTAATCTAAATATTTGCAAATAATTTCTTTGTTTAAAAAGTCACAGTATCAAGGTCGCTTATTCTCATAAAATAGATTACCAGAAAATATAGAGTGAAAATGAATTACTGCAGCTAATCAATCAGCTTATAGGACTGAAAAGTTTGTAAAACATAGTACAATCAGAGAACGTAGCCACAGTTTACACAACATTCAAACACAAACTGAAGGAATGGAAATCTAAATTATCAAGAATACTCTTTAGTACATATGATCTCCAGATAACTTCATTTTACTTAATCCTATCATTTCAGGACATCATTTTAGGATAATAGAAATGAACTTGTTAGAACCGCATGAGGTAATAAGCAATAACAGACTACAAAATGTGAGCAGTAATATAAGACCGCAAAATGTGAACATATCTAAAATGGATAACGTTTGAACGATCTTGTTTTCATCTAAGGATTGACACATTTCCTTTTTTCATTATACATAGGACGGTAATTATTGGGAATCGGAAGGTCAATAAAGTAAACAATGTTTCTTGATAAATTAGATAAGGACTGCAAGCTAATGCGACACACGCTGTGCAGATTTATTGGTGTGAAAGGAAGATTGCTACAGTAACACCGCTTGGCGGATGTAAAATAAAAAAACGACTTTCTGCTATCTTTCCGACACCATTTCAACATCCATCGCTTTATTCTAATTTGAAATTATGAAAGTGTAATGCCATTTGAATAAAACGAATATCAAAAAAAAAGATAAAGAATAACGACAATAGACAAAAAAGAATACGATACATAAGGCATTTTTTAAGGATATGCCTCTATAGCATTTACCAAAAAATGACTCACTTACTAGTTGTTGCTAATTATGTTATCAAATATGAATTCATTTACTATATATTCTCAGCATTACAAATAATTCCAACTCTTAGAAAAGTGATTAATCTTCCAGGGTTTCCAAAATTGCACATTATTATATTAAGTAGTACTTCCAACTTCCATCTTTCATTGTACTTGAAGTGCATTAACAAACAATGCAGAGAAATTCTTCCATGAATATGACATGATTTTTGTTAACAAGATGAAAATAGTTGTTGATCATATAAAAAGAAGTAAATGATAATGAAGCACATAACAAGAAAGTGTGCTTTTGTGCTATTAAAAAACTTTTCCTTCAAGAATGTCCATCTTCGCTGTAAATTGTGTTTCCCGAAGTATGAAGATATCGAAGACAAACGTAAACAACAAATGAACACATGTCCGAATGATACGTAATCAGTATAGGCTAATAAAATAACCGATATTGCTGATCTGTTAAACTGTGTGGTGAATAAAAGTATGCTACTGTTCTTAGCAAACATATCTTATTTTCTGAAAAAAAGACTTCCGATAATTTAAAAAACTTTTCTGTCTTTTCTAGAAGTAAAGCCTATGAAGAGAAGTCAAAAAAAAGTGCAAGAATTTAGAGTACTCTTCTTCCTAGTTATTGCACTCATCACAGATTTATGGATATTTTAGCGTGTTTTTATGCTGACCCGCCTAAAATTACGCAACTAATACGACCTTATAAAAAATATCTCTGAGACTACATGTGGTAAACAATCAATGAAACGGTACACATTTCTGTATCTAGATAACAGAATATTTGTCAGTAAACAAAACTAGAGGCATACCGATTGCACCATAGAACTCCCTGGTGTTCACCCAATTTAGCTACGTTTATGGAAATAGCATGTCAAATTTAAATAGTTCATACATATTCAGTGAAACATGACTTGAACATCCAATTTGATTAATAGGACTAAGGTAAGATTGATATGATCCAAAATAGCAATCTATAAAGGAAATAGCATTTACTGGGATAGTCAACAATAGTGCTTTTGCTAGAAATCGAAGATGTTCTTGCACTGACCTGAAATCAATAGAGCATTATGAAATGAAATTCCAATTCCATAGTTAACTACCACATTTGTAATCCTCATTACTAAACTTTCACAAAACCAGGAACTTTGTGAAATTGGATATCATGAACTTTGTTAACAAAGGATACAATTCGCTGTCATTATTTCGCGATTCATAAAATAATATGTATCATTTTAAGGTCAGTTAGGGTCACTCTTATTTAGAACAGTTTAGCTGTAGAATTATAGTTTTGGACGGCCTCATTCGTCATCGGAATACCACCAAGTCGTTCTACTTGCAGAATATACCAGATACAATATTGCAGATTGTTTTTATTACGCATATAACAAGCCGGTATTGAATGAAAATAAATTTTGCATAGTTTCCAGCACTTCTTGCACACGTAACTAAAATTTCAGATTTGAGGAGTCCAGTTCCTCCACATACAGTCAAAATTGAGGAATCATAAAAATCAGTGTCAATAAGCTTGAGAGCTTATCATGGCATTAAAATGAATTCAACCGTGTGATTAAGTTAAAAATTTTCATATTTGAAATAGTTGGCCCATTTCTAGTATTCATTAATTGTGACAAAAACCTTTACTGATATGTAATACCAAAAAATAAAATCAAAGAATAATTAAAGTTTCAAAAACTTTTAAATCATAAATATTTAAATTAAACTGACTTCCACCCAACTCTTCCAACACTCTAAAGAAGTTAATTCTAAAACAATAAGTATAAACCTATGATTCACATCACAAATCTCAAAACATTGAACATAAAATAAACCACAGCAAGAAAAATTAAAAGTAATCATAGTCAAAAAACCATTAAAAGCATCTATCTTAACAAGATATTTTAGAACAGCAAAAGAATGAGTTAATCAGTTGATGTAGAATAAACACCAACATTTACTGCAATAGGTAAAGAAAAACACAGCGATTATCAATAGCAAATAATCAAAAATCTCCTGTACTTGAACCATCTATAATCATCTGTAGGTTTTATAAAAAAATCAAAACTTAATCACCATTATTTCCATGCTTATAATTTCAATATCATTGATGCCCAATAACTTTTAAAGTTAGCTCCGAATCACGAAATATGCGTCTCTGACAATGAATTAATTAAAAAACAAGACCAGATATAACAACTAAAAAATTAACAACTAATATCTGTAAAATTAACGCAATTATTCAACTATTCCCACGTTCTAAATTTAACTTAAAAAAATTACCCGAAAAATATACACCTAACCTTACCAAAAATACAATAAGGTAAGAATAATAATTATGAATAAAATAACAAAATACATAAGAATTGCAAGAAATAAAAAATACGTAATTTTGTAAATAAATGATTAGCTCAAAATCCCTTTGTTTCGAAAACAAAAATACCTAAAAAATACTAAAAAGCCAGAAAAAATACAATGAACTATTGTCTCATCAAAATAAAATTCTAAAATTTTAACTATTGTAATAAAATAAATTATATCTAATGAAAACTACAAAGTAAAGTGAAAGAAATATAACTCTGAAAGGCGAAAAACGGTTCAACGGAAATAATAAACAATAAAAAAAGTCTGAACAGTAAATATTAAGATATGACCAATCAAAAAAATAATATTGATACGTAAAATTAAAGGAACTCTACTTATTAAAAACCTTAACCAATGAGAAAAAACATAACGAAAAAAAAAATATAACGAAAATTCCGAAATTCAAGACAGTAATAAAAAATAAAAAAATGAACATAGTTGAAGGACTAAACAAGAGAAAAACCAAATTACATATTCAAAAACAGAAGGAAAAAAAAAGCCAGTACACTTTAAATAAAAATCTAAACTGAATACCCTAGTGACTAAAACCACTAACCAAAAACCCAAAAAAGTAATTCAGTACTTTTAAACAATCTAACTTTGACAACTCTACATGGAATAAATGAAACACTAACCAAAACCAAATAATAGATGATAACAAAATTGTCTAAAAAATCTATATACAAAAACAAAATTGCGTTAAAAAATATATAAAAATATTATTTAAAAATGAAACTAAATAAGCATAACATAAAAGCAATGAAAGAAAAACCAAAAAATATGCCGTGTAGTTTGGGGTTCAGTCTGAATATAATTTGTTACTTAGAGTTGAATTGAAGTTTTGCCTTCCTTGTTTGTTATTGTAGTTGGTATAGACGAATGCGTTGAATGATAGGTCTGTTGTAACGATTTTATTTGTTAACAACCACAATGTATAGATATTAATCTATAGCAACAGTGCACTGATAATTTCGTAGAGTTCAACGAATAAGATGAAGGAGATGAATAAGTCGATGAGGAACATCGAAAAATTAAATGAACTATGAGTGAGGAAGAATAGCCGAACCATAACTTGCTGGTACAAAAAATTCAATAAGACAAAGGACTTCAATCATTGTATAGTAGGCACTGATTTGTAAAAGACACATGATTACACTGAATAAAGAGCTATAAAATGATTTTTACTCTTTATATAGTAAGAGATGGGTTTTAGTATTGTCAGTTGCTCATAAGAATGATTATTAGATTAGGAAACTTTTACAATATCTCGACATTACAAGCAAATTTGGCTTGGAACAAAGGAGTAATTTTTAACATATCAAGCAATACACATACCCTTTGCTAACAGTTGAAAATTTCTAGACAAACAGAAGAAGCTTAACTACAATGAGGAGAGTTTGGAATAATGATTGCTTAGATGAGATGCAGTTTGGAACAGTTTTATATTTCTTTAAAGAATGTTCAATTAGGAAAAATTTTTAGTATTATGAGTTAATTCAATTTTATTTAATATCTTTTGTAAGTTATTTCGAGGTTCGAGAAATTTATTTCAGCTTCGCGACAATATATACGTCAATATATTCAAAACGAAGACGAGTTTAAACCCTACGACAAAGTAAAATCAAACAAACAATAAGATAAAAAAAACCTCATATTGAAAAATAAACTAGAAGTTAAACAACTAAAATATGATAAATTATCATACTGTCCTAAAAACAAAAAAGTAAAACAATACTGGAAATTTCAACATTAAAACTATAACCAGTTCTCTCTTACACTCACGAAAATCAAATGGGACTCGATGTAAATCAACCAAAATAAGCAAAAAAAAGAAGTAAAAAACAAAGACTAAAAGATAAACACACTTTTATTAAGTGAAAAAAATAATATACCGAAAAAGCAATCTCATAAGAATAATTCTGAGCACAAGTTCGTGTATTTTGCTAATAAAAGAATACATCCAACCACTAGAAATTCCAGATCATATAATAAATAAACAGTAACACCTATAAAAACCAAAAAAATAATCAAAATCAAGATAATCGAAGGATATAAAAATCAAAATAAATCAAAAAAAAAAAAAACTATTAAAACAACATAAAAAAGATAACCAAGAAGAAAGTGAAAAAGTTGTTCGTTTTTTAATTTCACACCATCAGGAAAGCCGGAACAAATAACCTTATTGGGGCCAATATGACACTGCGACTCTCTTAAAAAACAACCTCTTAACAAAGTAAAAAAGCAATAGCTTGTAAAATAAAAATTATGATAAAAATTCCAATAAAATAAAAAAAAACAAAGTAAAATTCAAGGAATTTACAGTTTTTCATTCTATAATAAACTAAAACTTTTAAAACACACAGACAAGTTTTCTCTACCATACTACAACTTACGTAATAATAATGAAACCAACAACTCTATTAGTCCAAAACAAAAAACAAAGAAATGAGATGGAATCAAAAAAAGAAAACATAAACAAGTGAAAAAAAAATAAAAATCCAATACCCAATAAAATAAAAATTCAATAACATTTAAACAAAAAAATACAAAAATAAAAGACAAGAAAAAAACAAAGAATAAACTGTCTGACTAAAAGTCAAATTTTTTCTAAATTTAAAATAATCCTTTAAATATGATAAAATCTATAAATATGAATTTCACAGACTTAAAAAATTATCATACCACACATAAAAAAGAACGTTTAAACCCTACTAATCAAAAATTAGTTATACAAATTTACACTTAAATCTCCACAAACTAAAATCAACACCGCTTAAAACGAATATACTTATTATACTAAAAAGTCTAAGTGTGTGAACGAATATACTTATTATACTAAAAAGTCTAAGTGTGTGATAAGATTTCAAACTAACTTTTTTCTCGTTGTATGCAAGTGGAACTTAACTGATTTCGGTGCACATCGTCAGAATTATGTATCATTTACTTTCTCCATTATTCAATACATTTTGAGCCTACTGTTCTCAGTAGAAAAAATTTTTAACTACGGCTACTTTTCTTGATTTACAGTTTCGATGACATCTATAGGTCCCTGTACTTCATAGGTATTTTTGCCTGAAAGACCTTAATTAGATTTTTTTCTTTTTCTTCAGAAACGTAATCAATTTTAAATCAGTTCTCCACTTCAGTTTTTTTTTTTTTCAACCTTTTGGAATCGATTTGTCAATCTAGTTAATCAGAATCCATCATCCGACCAACTTAACTGTATGCATAGAAACTTAAAACTGTTTTCCTGAAATGGATTTTCAAGAAGACTTTGGATCCTGTTCTGTTGATATGGTTTGTTTCTTCATTTTTCAAGTAATAAGTTTCTCATAACATTTCATTCTTGGTTGGTACTCTTCGTGTCACATTAATACGAATTATAAAGAAAAGAAGTACTGAAAACGTAATCATTTATTAAGGCTTTGTTTTCATGACAAATAGTAGGAAAATGGCGAGAAATATGTAAAATTATGAGATGGAATATGAAGAGTATTGAAAATGAAGACATAAAGAAAGCAAACACATAAATCCTAAGCAATGTTGCATTTTTACTATCACTTCCTCTTTGCATCTACCATTATCATATAAGTTTCAATAAGCATTATTCGTAGTCAAGGTTGCTTTTACGTCTAAGCGTGGATAATAATAAAAGCTTTTTTACCTTGTGTCAAAATTCAACAACAATCATTACTTTTAGCATACTGGCGGTGTATTCAGTACTATATCAAAGTCATAGAAACAAATGTAATGGACTTCTGCTGAGCTAAAAATGTATTCAGCACATTTCTCATTACCGTTAATTTCCGTCTCTTTTCCTCTCCTTTCCTCTTTCTGGCATCTATACTGTTTCTGTAAAAGCTCAAAACAAATATCACCGAATTACGAGTAATATGTTTTACACACTCTTCTGGAGCAGCGCTATCATGTTTATACAAAGCTATAGATTGATTCTACGATCAAAAAGAATCACAGTGGCAGGCGCTACAGAAGACTGTCAAGAAACCACATAGTAAAACATAAGAATAACTGAATACATTAAAATTAAGAAAAACCATCAATTATTATTTTCTCGAATTGAAATTAAGCTGTTACTTTTAAAAGCTAAAATTCTTTGCTTTCTTGAATAAAATGGAGTCTCGAAAATATATAAAAGAGAAACTCCTATAAGAAAATTTCAATCAACAGAATTAGAAACCAAATAAATGAAGATTAAAAGTTTACATATGTTTCTGATACTTTTTCATCATTGGAGAAAAAGTGTAAACTGTACAAAATCGTAAAACGTTCATTGAACATAGAAAGCACTACAGATGATTCGAGGACGATTGCTGTTGATTAAAATTTGATTACACTTGTTGGTGTTTCAAATTATCTATCAATATCAAAGAGAAATTTCAGGAAATGTTTCCTTTGAGCCCAGGGGTCGCTTGACAGGGGTCGCTTTATCAGAGCGATGATCCGTACTCCGCATCGAATGGCGATAACTCTTTCAAATCTGTAGCAATCTTAAACACCACAGTTAAGAGATTTACTATGGTAGTAATACATAATAATCCAATTGGGATTCCATAGTTAAAATAGTAGGTGTATTTTTTGCTTATGTTTTTTTAGAATTCTAAAAGACTTTTGTAATAGACCTAAAATGCGCACATCGCATGTTTTGCATCAACAATTTAAAACTGGAGGCACCAGAAATGATTCGATTGGACATTCCCTAAAACAAGTAGAAACGCACTTCACCTATCGTCATAATCATTCACGTAAGTATCGTCCCATCTTCACCCGATTTCTTCTTTTGAAAGTACTACTGAACCAAATTTCAAGTGTCACCCTATACCTATTCTTATCATTACATGACTTTTTATCAAAATAGTAATAGATTGATATAAGCAACCGCTAGACGGCATGACAGATAAATGAAATTAAATAAGAGATATGTTAAGAGGATTTAATGGTGTTATCTGACCTGCTAATGTTCTGAACATTGATTTTACAAAAATTTACCTCCTTAAGCCCTACAGCACACGAGAATGGTAGACATAAGTTAACGTGATATTTAAAATCTGTATTCTTGAAAGTGATCGTTTTTTTAATTCTACTAACATAGGAAATCAAATTTAGTTTTTCAACTAGAACTAAGTCAATATTATATGCAAATTTAATGAACTAAACACATTTACAAATATTTAAAAAAGGCTCTTTTCAGACAAAGAAAAATGTTGCTTCCCAGAGGCTTTACTTCAACTTCTTTCAACGAAAATGACAGTTGTTTGTAGACTGTTCAAAGCTCAACAATTTTCAAAACAGATAAAGGGTAATTTGTATCGTCTGGTATAGACTCAATAATTAGACGTATATGGAAGCAGTAAGCAACTAGGTTTTCAACAAAAAGCTTAATACTATCTTTGCAAAACCGATGGTGAATCTTTTTCTTCATTTATTGAAATGTAAAACATAAAGGGCTTCGAAAATCATCTTTTTTGTCCATTTTATTCGATTTATAAAAAACCTCATTAATTTCAAAACTTGATTCTCTTCGAACAAAAGGATACCTTCGAAGATAAAAAGTCAATTTTTTTTTCACCATATCAAATAGTACAATTCCCATCGATTATGGCACATTCTCTGTTAAGTTTCAAGGTGAACATGACCTAATAAGTATTGCTTAACCAGGATACTTTTCGAATGAATTAGAGAAAGTAATAGATGAGTAATGACAGAAAAATCACTTTCAAATATTTCTCGAGTTTTTCAAATTAGGTAAAGCTACAAAAATTTGCTTCACTCCATAATCTTGACAACAACCACGATCATAATGGGGCCGCGTTCAGCAGGGCTTTTTCCGTAAAAACAGGTATGATAAGGTTGTTTGGTGTCTCTGGTATCCAAGCCTGTGGAAGTTGCTGAGAAGCACCTCGCTGGAGAATGGGAAGTCCGATGCATCTGGTCATTTCTTAGTGTTGAGTTGTGGGTCTTGTATTGGCAAGAACTTTAAGTTGTGAAATGGTTTTTAAAAGGTTCACTGCAAAGTTTTTACTTGTATTATTACTTAGCACGCGTAATTGATTGTTAAAATTACAGTCGTTAGCTTTACCAACATTTAACAAATCAAGTGATTAATCCATGCATTTCGCAAATTTAAATAGACGTAACAAATCTTGAAAACAGACTGTAATCGATGCCTCACATAATTTTCTTTAATGAGTCTCTTTGGTTATGTCTAACTATTGTTTGGTGAGGAAAGTTAATTGAAAAGCTTCTGTAGTTGATGTGCTAATATCAAACACCCAATTTGCATATTTGTAGTTGCTGAATTAGTATCATGAGTAGTTTCGCAGCTACAACTTTATTTTTAATTTAGCATTACTGGCTGCTTGTTGCAGTTCGTTTTCAAGCACACAAACAAATGAGTGCTTTGGAACGGAAACGTGCATGGAATCGTGATTTAGCGAAAAAAGCAGCAGCAACAGCAGTTGCAAAATCTACTGTTGCACCAATTTCTAGGTATAAAGCTTATCACTTGTGGTTTTCTCTTTCTAACGAAATTAACCATAGTTTTTGCAAGTCAAGAAATTTGGCTTATTTGGAGCTAATTTTTTGCAGTGAAGGACCGAAACTGAGATCTTACTGTGGAGTGGATTCTACAGAGCTATCAAATCGACAAACGACTTTAGAAAAGCGTTGTTTTGAGCCATCTATCAGTGAGCTTTACAATTTTGAACACCCTTCCTTTGATAAGGTAAGTCATGGGACTTTTATAACTTCTTTTTTTCATAAAATTGTATTCATTTTTACTTCACTTCACCGCGGTAATATTTTGTATTAGCACCCAAATCACTTCTTGAAATCCTTTCGTAACGTAAATTGTTTTTCTCAGTGGTTCAGTTGACAGTTTCACTAATCGCAGTATGTATAGTTTAACTTATCCATGTTTTTTAAACACTTTAAACAAGCTGGGAGCCATAAACAGGATGTCAGTTTTTCGTTCAAAGTGTCTAATGCGCGTTACATAAAGAAGGGCGAGTTAATTGTAAGTTCAATGAAAAGAAACTACAGTGACACAGATTTGAAGCCGCCTGTCAGGTCACCACTTGATTTGTAATTGTTGTTTTGCAATGCCATTACTACTAAATTTCAAGCACTCCTATCTTTCAGACAATTTTTATAAAGCGTCACGTATTGCAGAATGTTAAATAGCTGCGAAAATTTTGGTATACTTTTTGCAGTGGTTTTTAGTTACAGAATAATCGTTCGAAGTAGAAGTTCATCAGAAATGTTAGGAAAATCTGTATTAGAAACGACGAAAACAACTTTGGTATCGAATGGCAGTAATTCAGCACAGAGCTCGTTCAGTGAGAAGCATTTAAATACATCTGGATGCATTCTAAAGTCTGAATTGCGTAACTCTTGTTCGTGGAATCCAAAAAAAAGGAAAGTTGAAGGTAATGTAGAACCACCTACCAAGTTGGAAAAGAAAGTGGATTCGAAAAAAAAAGGTTGGTTCTATTCTGTTCACATATGTTTATCAATGACCGGTTGGTTCTGTCCTGTTCTGTTCTTGTCTATTTATCATTGACAATATTTCGTTATCTTATGCAGAACTTGTGATGGTGGAAGCTTAATTCGACCCTAGACCTAATAATGCTCAGGATGTTAAATGTGCTATGTTCGATGTTAGGAACTTGTTCTACTCATTTCATCAACCACCATTAGGCCATTGAGGGGTTCATTTATTAACGGGATAATAACCCGAGATTGAGGTAAGCAGAATAATAACGCGTCTCCTTGGCTGACATTGAATTTGCAAAATAAATCTCTTCAAACTAATTGCTTGCTATTGTCACACATTCGCTGAGGTTCTATCTTGTAGGATTTCTGTGAATATCCTAACTTCCTGCTGCGGATCCGTGATTATTTCTGTTTATTCGGCTATTTTTTTCTTTTGCATATAAATTTTAGTGTTGGCAAAGACGATTTCTGCGATACCATCCCTTGTTGTAAACGAAGGAGCCGCTAGAAATAGAAATAAATGTTTCCCCGGAGCGATCTGTTCATCTCGTCTTTCCGCAGCGTTAAACCGTAACTCTGAGTATGCAATAATATATTTTGTTCATTACTTTTTAAAATGTCAGTCGAGACATGTTTTAGTTATAATGAGAAAATAGCGGTTTTTTATGCTTCTCAAGAACCAAATAGGATTCGATCTACAAATCACACTAGTTGGTCAAAATTAACTAGTCATTCTCATCCACACAACCACCATGTGGATGCGGCCATTTGTTTTGATTGACAGAGTAAAGAGATAATTTAGGTGGGAAAAATTGGCACTGAAGAGTAGATCCATATTTTTGAAACACAGAAGTCAGAAAATGCTAAAGGATCGTTTGGAAAAGTACTGTGTAATAAAACAGAAATCTCATATGTACTACGAGGGGAAATCAGATGCAAAGGAAGCAAGTCAAACACCAGAAACTCACTATTTAACAAACAGAGGAGAATTTAATCAAGGTGGTTTTAATTTAATTGGTTACCAGTTTGATGAAGTTTCTTCTTTTGTTAATAAATTATTGTTAAGTTTCTGGAAGGAGGCTTTGTATGCACTGACTTGTTTTTTTCCCAAATTTCGTATCTTTCATAACCGTTTTTTGCCAAGCAAATAAAATGATCATGAAATAAAAAATCTGTTAAGAATCTTTTGTTTTTTCTGACATACTATAGAACTTTTTCCTGCCTTGCTCTTTATTTCCTTGAATTTTCATTTATCTTGCTTATTGTTTTTTTTTCTTTTTTCAATACTCCGTATTTTATTATCAAATTCATTTCTTTTCAGATTTTTTTTGTCTCTTCTCCAGTGATCTCAATAAAAATAAAGTCAAACAAAGCGAAATTTTATGTGGAAGTAATGAGAGTGAGACTTCGGTGGAGAAAAACATGCCTTCAAGAAGAATTTTGAATCATGGGATTTCAAAGCTTGACATGCAGGTGATTATTTCAATGCCATGTTCAGTGATCGTATTTTCATTTATCTTGATATATATGGAGATATCTGTATTCATTGTTTAAACAAGCACTTATTCGTAGAAAATCTTGCCGATGTGACGCAGCGAATCTATAAGCAGAAAGTTCAGAATGAAGATTTTGGAGACCTCATATGGGCTAATTCAAGCTCATTTATACGCATCTGTTCATTGCTTTAGATTAATTTACTTAATAGAATTTTTCATGCAGTATATAGGGATTAAATTTAGCAAGCGGAATTCTAAAAAGAAAAAATGAAATATCTAGTTTTAAAGCGG